TAGCATGAAGTAGAGGGTAGGTTTTTAATTTGGTTGTGGAGGCTTTTATTAGCGGGAGTATGTAGTGTTTGTTTAGGTTAGTTTGAAGTAGTCCTGTAGTTAATTAGTGAGGTTTTTTAATATTGATAATTGCATTTTTGCTTATTATATTATAGGGGTTTGATTTATTTGCCTCATTTGATTGCCATGTATTGTTTTATTTTTGCAGAGAGTTTGGTAGATATTGTTTATGGTTACATTTATCTTTTGGCCACGTGTTTATTTCTAGGTGGTATTTGTGTTTTGGTGATTTGAGGCATTATGGGTTTCTTGAGTTTAGAATAATTATTTTGTTGTTGTTAGTATAAGCTTTTTGGTTGTTTTTTTTTTTTTTTCTAGTTTCATGTATTTGGTTGTCATTTTTTATTAATTTTATTTTTGGGAACATGGGTATTTCTCTGGTGGATTTTTTAAGGGACACATCCTTTGCCAATTGGATTTTTTGCAGGTGGCCGCCCCCTCAGGACCACAGGCCCCTGAGCACAAACACTGTCCCTTTTCCCTGGGAAAGAAAACTCGCCAGCCCAGGTCCCTGATGTCAGTTTGCAGGAGGTGTTTGGCATTGCCCCGGCAACCACAATTGTATTTTGCTGCAGCTTTGGTCGGGGAGATCTGGGGTGCCCCCTTCTTCTCTCACCTCCTCCCCTCAGCCCTGTTCTTCTCTGTCCCTGTCTCCGTCCCTCACCCGTATTTGTACGTCCAGCCCACCCTGCCCCACTCTCTCTCCACCCTTCCCCCTCCCCATCCTGCCCCATCCCTCACTCCCCTGTGGCTCCCTGCAGCACCACATGGGAGCCCGAACTCGTGGGGATAGTGCGGCCCTGGCAGCAGGACAGCACCGAAATGAAACGGGCCGGGACGACGTCTGTGGGCTGCACGGTGTCACCAAGGGACCTGGGGCTGAGGGGAGGGGGCTGGAGGGTGACACAGAGGTTGGGGGCTGCTGACAGGCAGAAGGGGTCTTTAGGAGTAAAAAGGGGGGCTCCATGGTGGCACAGAGATGCTGCAGTGGGGTACCTGAGGGTGACACAAGGAGGCTGAGAGGCAGGGGGTGCCTTGAGGGACAAAGTGGGGGGTGCCTGTGGGTGACAGGTGAACCTGCCCTCACACCACCCTTAACTGCACCCTAAATACCACCCCGGGTGCAGCGTGCACGGTGGAGATTAGGGGGCCAAGGGACAGTGTCGGGGCCTTGGGGTGACACGCTGACATTACGGGCTGAGGGGCAAAGAGGGGGGACTTGACAGGTGGAGAGCTGACACTGAGAGTTAGGGGTGCAAAGGACAGGACACAGGGTACCGGGAAGGGTTAGGGTACAGCAGCAGCCCTCACCCCAACCCTAAGCTCACCCTAAACAGCACCCCTAGAACACCATTTTTCCCCAACAGCAGCTGCAGGCAGTGACCCTAATTAAAAGGCAGGGATGATGTTTGCTGGATAGAGAGGGACTGGTAGAGGCTTGGGACTGAGCACTTTTTTAGGTTTTTCTTTAGTGTTTTTAAAGGATATTTGAGGGGTTTTCTCACAGGAGCTTTTTAGGAACTTTCTGAGAACGTTTAGGATGCTTTTAGAGCTTTTTCAGGGCTTTTAAAAAAGTTTTCTTTAAGATATTTTAAGGGCTTTCTTAGTACTAATTAGAACTTCTGGGTTTTTTTTTTTTTTTGGATGTTCTTGGTTCTTTTTATGACTATTTAAAAAATTTTAGGACTTTTTTAGGACTGTTGGGGGTATGTGGAGGACTCTGAGGACTAGGGTATTTTCAGGTTTTTTGAGGGAAGTTTTTTTCTTTTTGGACCTTATCAGTGTGTTTTATTGATTTTGGGGCTATTTTTAGAGCTCTTTTACGAACATTTAGGGATTTTTTAAAGGTTCTTTGGGGATTTTTAGGGGTGTTTTAGAGGTTTTTTAAAGTAGGGTATTTTTATTGTATTTTAAGGGTATTCTGTGGCTGGTTTTGTGTTTTTGTGGGGTTTTTAGGACATTTTGAAGATGAGGGTTTTTTAGGGCATTTTTATGGGTTTTTAGGGTCTTTTCATGGCAGAGAGGCTGAGGGGCACTGTGGGGGCTTGAGGGTGACAGAGGCTGGGAGCTGAGGGAGGAACAGGAGGTGGGGACAGTGGGTGACACAGAGAGATGCTGAGGGGGGCAGGAGCAGCTGGAGGGTGACACAGAGAATTTGGGGGCTGAGGGGCAAAGGAGAGGGATTAAGGGTGACACACGGGAGCTGAGGGGCAGCTGAGAGGGGGCTTGAGGGGCAAAGGGAGGCTCGAGGGTGACACCCAGAGCCTGAGGGCTGGGGGACAGAGGGCTTGAGGGCTGGACAGTCCAGTGGAGATCAGGGCTACAGGGTACAGCTTAGGAGGCAAGTTAGGGTACAGGTGCATCACCCCTCACCCCAGCCCTAACCTCACCCTAAGCAGCCTTTTTACCCCTAACAACAGCAGCACAACACAGCAAGCCTAACAGCGAGACCACACTGGAACCCTCCCGCTGGGACAGGGCAGCGACCCTCGCACCAGGAACACGCCAGAACCCTCAGAGGACAACAGGACCTGCTGCATAAAGGTAGGGATGACATCTGTGGGCTAGAGAGCAACAGGAAGGGGTTTGGAGGCTGAGCAGGCTTCCTTGAGTTTTTTGCAGGACTATTAGGAATATTTAGAGGATTTTTCAGCTTTCTGGAGGAGATACAGGGCACAGAAAAAAATCAAGTCCCAAGCTTTGTACTGTCAGTTTGCAAGGGGCATTTGGCACCAAAAAAACCCCAGAGTAACTGGGAGGCAGATATGGTCTGGGAGAAATCCTGCGCTGTTTGGACAATGAGGAGGCAAAAGGCCACTCAGAGCCTGATACCCCGCGGGGGTGGGGGGTGGGGTGTGCAGGGCCTTGGTTGTGAATGAGGGATATCTACCTTGAGAAAGTAAAGCCAGCAGCCCAGGTTGCTGGTGTCAGTTTGTAGGGTTCACTTGGGACTGTCAGGGCAGCACAAGTTTGAGGTGGGAGCAGACTGGGTCTGGGACACATCCTTTGATGTTCGGATTTTTGCAGTCAGCTGCTTGCTTAGGGCCACGGAGCCATGAGCACAAACACCAGCCCTTATTTTTGCAAAGAAAACTCGCCAGTCCAGGTTCCTGATGTCAGTTTTTAGGGTTTGCTATGGGCAGTCAGGGAATCAAAAATTTGAGGTGGTGGCAGCTTAGGTCTGAGACACATCCTTTGTCATTTGGATTTTCTGCAGTCAACTGCCCACTCAGGGCCAGGGTGCCCTGAGCACAAACACCAGCCCTTTTCCCTGGGAAAGAAAACTCACCAGTCCAGGTTCCTGATGTCAGTTTGTAGGATTCCCCTGGTGTCACTGTTGAGGCAGGATGGGAATGAGAAGACTGACTCAGAAGGCTGCTGAGAGTAAAACTCCGGTTTATTTAAATACACCGCTCTTTTATACAGAGCTTCGTGAGGAACAATTCCATTGGTCCTGAAGTGAAAACAGCCCATACCATTGGTGCAGAGTGCTTGATGCACAGTGATAGAACTTAACTATAAACAATGTGAACAGCAAGAGAGATAAAGAATTATTTACATTTTTCTCCAACTCTTTCCTAGGCTTCTGCCTGGTTAGAAACTCTCTGTTTCTCTCTTGGACTGAATCTGAGACCTACAGATTTGCAGTTAGGGGTTGCAAGCAGCACTACCTGATGGCCCAGTGCAGGGGTGTAGAATTCAAATCCCCACCCAGCTGATCCACTACTGCACCTTTGGAAATGTAATATCTGTGTAACAACAACAAAATAAGGCAATAACACAACAGAATAACACAATAAAATAGCAAAACATTATTCTAAAGATAACATAGCTAAAGGAGTAAATGACTCATAATAAAAATTTCACCTTACAGCTTGCAATTAGTCCTTGTACAGAGGACTCAATGGTTCTGGGCCTGCAGTCACCAGCATCCCCATCGGGGCTGTGGGGACACAGGGACCTCCAGCTGCTGGAGGAAATGTGTCACGGCCCTTGGACAATTGGCAGTCACCACTCACAGGTCACTGGAAAAGGGATAATTACCACTCCCAGCTCAGGCTGCAGACGATGGTTGACACACAGAGCTCTCGCCATCCTGTCACAGTGGCGTCCCGGCTGGAAGGATCACGGCTCAAGTCAGATCTTCAGGTAGGGACTGGGAGAGCCCTTCAGGGCACAAGAGCGTCAGCAGCCAACATAAAAGGGAAGAAAACTGAAAGATGAGGCACATTTCTGAGAAAAAAAATCCCACATTTATTTCTCAAACCCTGTTTTGGGAGGTCAGGGCAGTAGGCAGAAGGTGGCACAGGTTTAGTAGATGGCACCTGCCCACAGGCAGGCAGCTGGGTGCTTTCCTGTGACTGGTTACTGCACTTTCCATTACCATTGGTTGTTTTTAAGGCAGCAGAAGATACTTTTGGGGGGTAAAATGAGACCAGCACCATGGGAATGACTGGGGCATCTCAACATTTCCTGTGGGCTCCATGCACATGACTTAGGATGGTGCAGACCAAGCTGCTCAAGTGCCCAGCCCTGCCTCCCATTTCATAGGAAGAACAAAAAAGAGTTCAGCAGGGCTCAAGCTGAAATGATATTTTGTAGCTTACGGCTCTCCTCAGAGCTCTGGTAAGAGAGGAAGGTCTCTGTCCCTGAAAGCCACGGACCCTTGGAATGCACAATGGACCTGTGTGTCACTTCAAGAGACACCAAGAAGCCCTGCCACTTTGCAAGGGCAGCTGTTGTTTCACTGCTGCATTTCTTGGCTCGACAAAGCCCCTCCGACCCGCACTACGGCCTGAGCTTGAAGATATAAAGTACCACCCTGGAGGACAGGCATGGAAAGCTTGCCAAAGGCTGAAGGCAGCACTCTGATTCCCCCTTTTCCCGAGAGGTTTCTTTAGCTGAAGTTGCTGACAAGGACCAGCCTTGACACACCGCAATGGGTTTGCTGTTTTATTTTCCAGGTCCTCAGTCCTGCGTGGGATTCGGTAAGTGGGTGCTGCAGAGGCTCCGGCAAGGCATCAAAAACGCCGGCCCCACACCCAATGGTGGCGCGAGATCTCCTCCAGCTCCGGCCTGTCCGGAGGGTGCTTGGCCAAACACCATCGGATCAGGTGCTGGAGCTCTGGGGAGAGAAGCCAGAAAGCGCCGGTCACCGCCAGAAGTCTCCTGCCCAGCTACCCCCGTTGCCCGCGGGTCCCGGGCCGTGCCGCGAGCGCTCTGGGCCGTGCCGGGCTCCCGACCGGCTCTGCCCCGCGCGGGAGAGCGGCACGGCGGGACGCGGCTGCCTCCTCCGGCCGCCCGTGCCGCGCTGAGCCCGTCGGCACCGGCCCCTCCTGCGGCCGGCCCGTGAGGGCAGATCCACGTCCCGCGGAGCTGCGTGAGGGCCGCGCCGGGCTGCGCGCCGCCAGCTGCCAAAGCCCGCCGGCTTGAGGCCGGACACCCACCTGGAGAAAGCTGCCGCCGGAAGAAGAGCTTCCCCAGCACGATGGCTTGGTCGTCCCGAAAGGGGAGGCTGCCGCAGACCATGACGTACAGCAGCACGCCCAGGGACCAGATGGTGGCCGCGTGGCCGTGGTAGCAACCCAGCCAGGTCCACTCGGGCGGGCTGTACACGCGCGTTCCTAGGGGAGACAGGCGGCGCTGGCCGGGCGCAGGCTGCTGCCTTCCAGAGCCTGGCACCAGCCTCCTGACCGAGGCAGGGGCTGCGCCCGCGGCCACAGCTTCCCCCCCGAGGCCACCCCGCATCCCCCAGCCAGCTGGCCAAAGGCATGAAACCATTCTGCGAGGCCAAGAAGGCCAGCGGAGCATCCCAGGCCCTTGTGGGCCCGCTGAGCCCAGGGGCCGGGAGCCGCTTTTGCCGCCCCCTCTCTCGTCAGGGCCGGCAGCCGCCTCCTGGGGCTCGGCATCCGCCCCGTGCCAAAGGGCAGCCGGCTGAAGGCCGCGGCCCGGGAGGGAACGGGGCCGTGCAGTGCCTGGCACCGAGAGCAGGGCCCAGGCCATGGGCTCACCGGCAAAGTCCGTGAAGGCCCGCTCCTGGAGGAAGGTGCCGCAACCGAAGTCGATGAGCTTCAGGTGGCCGCTCTCCGGGTCCACGAGGAGGTTCTCTGGCTTGATGTCCCGGTGCAGGACGCCGCAGGCGGTGCAGTGCCGCACGGCCTCCAGCACCTGGCAGAAAAGCCAGCACGCCTGCTCCTCGCACAGGAACCCCTGGTCCTGCTCCTGCAGGAACTCCAGGAGATCCTGTGATGCCCCCGGACGCTCCAGCACCAGGATGAAGCTGTCCGGCAACTCGAACCAGTCGAGCAGCTGGATGATGTTCTGGCAGCCAGAGCCCACCTTCTCCATCAGCACCACCTCCAAGGGCACGCGGGTGCCGTCGGGCTGTGAGCAGAAGAAAATCAGTGCCTGCGGCAGGTGCTGCTGCTGCTGCTGCAGGCCTGGGGCTGCGCTGCGCCCTGCCCGGGATGCCCCAGTGCCCCCTGCCGCAGCCTCCCAGGCGCTTGCGCTTCCTCCCGCCCGGGGGATGCTCGGGGGTGCCCCTGCCCGGCCCCGGCACCGCTGTTCGGCGTGCCCAGGCCCGCGGGGCTGCGGCTCCGCTCGCTGAGCCCGCCCCGGGATTCTCCCTGCCCGCCACGCCCCGCTCTGTCCCGCTGGCCCCGCTCGCTCACCAGCTCGTCCCACTGCAGGACGCTCTCCCGGGCCACGCGTTTGAGGGCCACCTGCGAGCCATGGAGAGAGGAGGGCTGAGCTCCAGCCCTGCCCCTCCCCGCCGCTGCCCCTCCGCCCACGCCCGGCCGTCGCGGCCACTCACCGGGCTGCCGTCCGAGAGGCGGATGCCCGAGAAGACGGTGCTGAAGCCGCCGCTGCCCAGCTGCGGGCCCCACAGGTACAGCTCATGCCGCTGCCTCCTTTGCCCTGCGGCCAAGAGCGAGCCATCAGCCTTGCGCCCAGGAACCGCCCCTCCCGCAAGTGCCCGCGAGTGGAGCGGGCCGGGCCCCCGCGGGCCGCCGCGCTCTCACCCGCTTCCTGCTGCGCGCCGGGCAGCGGCCACCGCCCTGCAGCCGCCGGGCTGGCGAGCGGCAGAGCCGGGCCGGGGCAGCGCGCACAGGCGGCTGCGGCAGCCCCGGGCCAGCGGGGCAGGGCGGCACCGTCGCTGTCCCCGGCGTCGTGGGCTGGGCTCTGCTCCTGCCGACGGCCGGGGCTGCAGCCCGAGGCTTGGCACGGGGGAGACCCAGGAGCGGCTGCAAAGCAGACAGGGCGTTTTCAAGCTGGGCCATCGAAGGCACTGGAAACAGCCAGCGACTGGGCTGCTCTCAGGGGCCCTGGCCTGGCCTGTCCGCGCCCCTCCAGAGCCCCGGGGGAGCCTCAGGAAGCTCCTCAGGAGATCTCACCTGCTACTAGAAAGCCCTTCGCGGCACTCGAGGGGTGTCTCGGGGCAGCTTCCTGCAGATGGAGGAAGCTCCGTGGTGTCTGGAGGCCCGTCTCCACCACCAGGCTGGGGCTGTTGCCAGCTGGCAGAACCGGCACAGCATCCTGGCTGTCCTGGCCGCTGTGGGATGACCACTGCTGGCTCCAGGACTCTTGCTGCCCTGTCAGCTGCTCCTGAGCAGGCTCCCCCGCATCGGGCTGGGCTCCCATTTGGACTTGTTGGCTTTCACCTGACACGTAAAGGGTCAGGATTGCGCCCGTGTCGTTGATGTCCGTGAGTTCAAGGGAGCTGGGAGACCTGTCCACGGGCTCTGCTCCTTCTGCATGCTGACAGGTCTCACTGAGCCTCTGCGAGGGATGGAGGCTGTCAGAGATAGCAGAGGCTGGTGGCAGGGTGCAGGGTCTCTGACAGCCTGAGGTTCCTGCATGGATTGGTGTGGCTACCCCCTGCTGTGCCATCCTTGCAGGCCTTGAGGCTCTCCCAGGGATGGAGAATCTCGCTGGGAGCAGCCTCTGGAAGGGATGGAGGCTTGTGGAGGAGCTGGCCGAGGCACAGCAGGGCAGGTGGCCTCGCTCCAGCAGCTCCTTCAGCTCTTTCCACAATGCCTGCCACATCCCAGTGTAGAGGGGCGCACGTGTCCCGTTGCAATCCCAGAGCTGCAGCATCAGTTCCTGCAGCTCCCGGGCCACTGCCAGGCAGGGGCCGCAGCTGCAGGGGCTGCCCAGGGGGCTGGTGGGAGCACGTGGCCACTTGCCAGGAGCAGCCCGAGGCCTGGGGAACCTGGGAGCCGCAGGGGCTCCTCGCTTCCTCCGTGAGCCTCTGGGCCGGACCCTGGGGCGCCGTCTCCACTTCACTCTCCGTGTCCGCCGGCTCTGTGGTTGCCGGTGGCCAAAGGCCCACCAGACAGCCACGGCGGCCAGCAGCAGGACAAGCGCAGTCACCAGGACATCACCGTCACCCATGGCTCCAGCACGTCCCATCGCGACTGCACTGGCAGCTGCAGGCGCTGGCACGTCTCACCCAGCGACAGCGCGGTGATGTCACAGTGGTGTCACAGTGCTGCGGCCAGCACAGCCCTGGGACATCACAGCCCTGCCTGACGCCAGCGCTCTGCCCCTTTGTGCCATCACAGCCCTGCCTCAGCCCCGCCCTCCGCAGTGCCCCAGGAGGGGTAAGGGGGCTCCCTATGGGCACTTGCCAGCTCTCTGGAGCAGAGTGGGTGGAAGATTCTCCTTTAAGCAGGACACAGGAATGAGGAGGGGAATGTTGATGGTCTCACCTCCTTGCTGGCAGAGCACGGGACATGGATTGTCCAATGTGACACTGCAAAGTTCTTGAGGAGGGCAAGTCCCGCTCAGCAACATCCGAGCCATGTGTGTGCTGTCTGCCACATTCCCGTCCTGAATCCAAACCCAGCTCTTTGCCGCTCCCTGGGAAGGAAATGGATCCTATCCCATTGAAAACCAGTACATCAGCCCATTCTTCAGCCAGCACACTAAAGCCAGGGAACCTCAGGGAAACGGGAAACTGGACAAGACAAACGCACATCCAATCAATATGATTAATGCAACGTTCTCCTGTTTATTCAAAATCAGGCGGTAGTTTATATAAGCTTCTATATAGTTTACAGGAACAAAAACACTCTGATTGGTAGGCTAACATTGTTTACCTTTTCCTTAAAACGGCCTGCACTGTACACCATAAAACCTATACTAGTTCACACCCCGTGGTCCCCACAGTACCTTAAGACTATTTTCTATCTGCGCCACAACCCTGAATTTCTAACTGCGTCAGAGGCTTTGAGGGCCCCACCAGGCCTCAATCTGAGGCCTAGCCTGGAGTAGCTCAACTTTCACAATTCATGCCCTCTTTCTCTCAAAAATGCTGTAACAATTCCCTCTTTTTCTTTTGAGCTACTCAGGCTGGAGTGAAGGCTCAATGAACTAATTTTTGCACACACTGTCTTTGACCCAGCCAGAAAAACCTGAAGAATTGAGCCAGTTATCAAATGAAGTGTCCATTTGGAGAACACTGCATTTGGCTCGTTGAGTCTTCTGAGGCAATTCGAGAACCTGATGTATGGTGGGAGCAAAAAGCATCAACCTACCGATATAACATGGGCCTCCCCTAGCATTCTGAGGGACTGCTGACCAGGCTCGGTCCCCACAAATGAGGAAGGTTCCTGGGGGCAGTTTTTCCTGCACTACCTCTTGGAGTCGAATTGTTACAATATTCTAAATAGTTGTATTACAATGGTGATCTGGGAGACAATCAAGTGTTGTCATCTGTCAATTTTCCATTTTCTTGAGTTGGTTTGGTAGCATAAGATCCAAATATCAAACAGTAATTTCCTGGGACAGAACCCAAAAGACCAAATTCTTGAAAACTATCATCAGTAAATTTAAGGTTTTGCACAAATGCAACAGCTTGCGCTCCCAGAGTGCTATTTAAACTTATTTGAGCTCAGGTCCAAGTCTTGAACTCTGCCATGGGACCCAACGAGACTCCAAAAATTAAACAAGTGCGAAATAAAAACATTGAGGCCCACCACATTCTTCTCAGGTTCTTGAATACCCTGTCTAACATGAAAGAAACAATCTTAATTCTAAACATAAACTATAACTTCTAATAAACTAACTTCTGATAAATCTAACTTCACACTTATGATATTTCAACTTATTTTTCTGTTTCATCTATTTTTAAAATTCTGTTTCTGCCTTTTCGTATCAATGCAGCAAGAGCATCTGTCCTGTCCATCACACGACTTCTTGGTTGGATGGGTAAAAACACTCACTCAAGTAGAATTTCTGTTGATCCCCGTTGGGACCTCCCTCTTTTTCTTTTGCCATTGAAAGACAATGGCAAGATGAACAGAAGAATCACAGGCATTACTAAAACTTATTAAAAACTTAGCAAAAAAAAATTCTATAACATCATTAAAAACACACTTATAAAAAAAACTCAAAGCCCACGATCTTCTGTGGGTGAAACACAAATCTTTGCACAATCCACTTTTGCTGTGCATCCTCTGATCCACTTGTGGAGAGATCAGTGCCCTCTTGCAATTGAGAAGTTCCACATTCTTCACTGAAATCCATTTTGATTCTGCACCTGTTAAAACACAAACAAACCCAACACCCCCACAGGGACTGGAGGGTCCTCTCTCAATTCTGTTCCCTAAAACTTGCATGAAGAAATGGAAATATCAACATCTTTGTTATAAACATGAAAAACATTAAGAACAAAACAATGCATATAGTAAAGAAACTAACAACAAATAAAAATCAATCAAATAATACACAATCAATATTACATATAAAATCACAGTTACCAAGTGCTACACTATCAAATTGTCATCCCAGAGTCTGCAGCAGCTGAAAAACCTTAAAACAACAGAGATTTGGATAAAACATGTCCGGATCATGTCTCTCCAAAACCTCCTTTGAGGCTCAGCTGTCCTGTATGGTCAAATTGTCAAGCCAAAAGGACTTGAATACTTTTTTGATGCAGAAAACACCTGGATCAATCACACTATCCACGTAGAGCCAGAGCCTGGCCAGAGCTCGAACTCTAATTGGAGGATATGTTTAAAGCAAAAGTCTTAAAAATAACAGTTATAAGTGAAAAACCTTATTATTAACAATTTATCAAAACATCAAATAATTGAGCTTGTCTAAAATTTCCTTCAAGACAAAAATTCCCTAAATACAACAAACCTTTTCTTCAAAAATCTGAGAATTTGAAGTCTGAAATCTTGAACCAGAACTTGGACTATAAATTTCTAAAAGATGAACTGCAGCTGCATAGAAAATTGAATAAAGAAAACACATGAGTAGTTAAAAAATCAAACACACAGGATCCTGAAAAACACATCTTACAATCAATCACTCAAAAAACTCATAAAACATATGAAAACTGACTGTAAATATTAAAACAACACCTCAATATCTTAACATCTTAATAATAATTCTTATCACAAAAATCAGACAACTTACATTATATGATCAACCTATTAACAAAAAATGTTTAAAATAGTTTAAAACAATCTTGTCAAGCATTCATATAACATTAGTAACAATCACTACTTATCATTATTCATAAAAACTTGACAATTATTATTTATCTTATTATTTATAAAAACTCAAAAACAGAAATTGTGAACTCAATGCCAACATTCCATCTGACTGACTTTTCTCAAATCTTTGCTTTCAAAGACATTTTTGGCCATTAAATCATTATTAACATTTCTATCCTTTTTTGTTTTACAGTAATTTTCATCCACATTGTATTTGAAATAACTTTGATTTGCATAATGTCCATCCCTCTTGGTTTCTTGGAAAACACTCAGTATTGCTATAGTTTTTCATTACGTCTTTTGTCTCCTTGTGTTGTTGCTTGATAAAGCAGCTGCAATGATGTGTCCTTGTTGTTCAATTGCATCCTGGATGGTTGCGGCGAATGCCGCAGCTTGGTTGCTCTGTTCTGCGCGTGTGGCTCTGACAAGCATCTCATCGACTGGACAGCCCTGAGGGAGGGTGGCTAGGATGGTTCTGGTGGGTGGGTTAGCATTCTCAAAAGCAAGGGATCGGAATAAATGTTCCTGAACGTCTGGTGGCACGTCAGGTGCATCCTTTAAAGCAGCTGACAGCCTATCAATAAATTGTCCAAATGGTTCAGTGGCTCCTTGCTTTATGGTGGCATAGGATGCTGACTTTTTCTTGTCCGGTACCAAAAGCAAAGCTTGATGAGCCAATTGCTGTGACAATTGATGTATTTCAATAGGAAAGGTAAGTTGCACCTGATTGGTTGCATATGGTCCCTGCCCAGTCAGCATATCTGGCTGGACTCCAAAAAAGGGGTCTCCCGCATCTGTATGTTTGTTGGCCTCCTCAACTGCCAACCGTTTCCATTCCCTTTCAAACATGAGGAATTGAGAAGGTGTCAGAAGCAGGGATGCAATGTTAGACGAATCACTAGGACAAAGCACATCTGCTGTGAATATATACTGAATGATGTTCCTGGCTGCTTCTGATCTGATCCCATAAGTGGTGACTGTCTGCTTAGCAACTGTAGGATTTTCCAGTCATGGGGCTCCCAGATGGCATTCCCATTAGACACTATGACAGGACAAGCCAGGGAGCTGGCAGCTTTCCAGTCACCGTCTAAAAGAGCATCTTTCACAACTGACGCCCATCGGGACTGCAAGGGATTTTTTAAAACTGCTGGCGATGCCAATTGCTGGCCAGTGGAAGGTTCCACTGCTTGAGCCTGACGACTCGAAAGGGTGGCAAGGCGGGCTATTTTTTTCTGTAACGTATTTGGTCTTTGTATCTTGTTCTGTGATCGCGTGTCCCTGCTGCAATTGACAACCGGAAAGTCTGGCTCTGAGTCGTCAGAATCTGAACTCGGTGGGAGTGGGCAGTGCCGTGCCACGGTGGTGGAGTGGGAACTGGCATCTTCGGGGCTCTGCTCTGGTGTTGTCTGGGTGGCTACTTCTGCCACTCCGCTAGCATTGGGGTGTCCAGCCCCTCCAAGCCGCGCCAGGCTGCTGGCCGCGGCCGCCGCCGCCGGCGGGTATCGGCGAGCCGCTCCTCTGCGTTTGCACGCACCGGTGGCAGCCGCCGCCGCCGCCGCTGCGGGGGGGCGCGGGGCCAGCGCCGCCTCGCTCCCGTCTCCGCCCTGGTCTCTGCCTTGATCTCCGCCCCTGAGTTCCTCCTCCTGACTCAGCCCTGTTTCGTCACCAGCTCCGCCTGCCTCCTCAGGTGTCTCCCCGCCTCCCGAGGGACCCGGGAGGGCCACTTCCTGGTCTGCCGCATTTCGCGAAGCCGCCGAGCTGTTAACATCCGCTGCTCGTGAGCAGACTTCCGCTCCGGGCGCAGCCGCATCCCTGCTCCGTCTCGCGCCGGCCGGCCCCGCGCTGCCCAGCTCCGTGCCGCCCTCCAAACGAGCGACAACATCTCTGACAGAGGGGCTGACTGGGGCTTTCTGCCCGCGCACTGGCCGCATATTACAAACATTAAAGAATTTTTCAACCCGCGATGGCTTTCGCGTTTCTATTTGTTCTGCTGTGGACTGCTCAAATGCTCGAATGGCAGCTTCCGCTGCCTCTTTCTCCGCGGCCATGCTTTGTAAGGTATGTGAAACTTTCTTCCAAACACCTCCAAGCTCTAATAGTGTTTTCTTGTCCTTTTTGCCCTCTATCACTGCATCCCAAAGCAACTGCCCTAGCTCTCACCATTCGGTTTCACTAAAAAGCAGGGAAGGTTTTTGCAGCTTGCCTTTGCTTCTTGCCCAAAGGACCAATTGTTCTAAATCGGCTTCTTTAACTTTTTCAGCTCTCTTTGAGAGAATATGAAAGAGCAGCCGCACTGAAGCCTGTAAATCTCCATCCATGGTGAACTTTCACCCTCTCTTTCTGTCCGCGGCTTACCTCAATCTCCACGGGCTGCTCCGCTCTCGCTTTTCTTCGGCAAGGCAGCAGCTCCCGCTCCAGCTCCCCGGCCTCGGCCACGTCCACCCCCGCCGTTCGGGTCCTTTGTGAACGCCGAGGTCTTCCCACTGCTCCAACGGACTCTCGCAAGCAAACAACAATGCGAAGAGTCTTTTTCCTCCCGTTGGGAAACGGCCCAATTCGGAGTTTGGAGACTTCTGCTCCGTTCCACCTGATCCCCGTTCACAAAAAGTGAATTTGGGATCCCGGTCCCGTCACCATGAGGCGATTTGGACCTAAATTCCTGTCGCGCGACTCAAACCTGACTGCCCGTTACTCTAAAAGTATTTTGGCAGCCTTTTCGGAGCCTCCTGAGTCCCTGGTCCGGGCGCCACTTAAAGCCAGGGAACCTCAGGGAAACGGGAAACTGGACAAGACAAACGCACATCCAATCAATATGATTAATGCAACGTTCTCCTGTTTATTCAAAATCAGGCGGTAGTTTATATAAGCTTCTATATAGTTTACAGGAACAAAGACACTCTGATTGGTAGGCTAACATTGTTTACCTTTTCCTTAAAACGGCCTGCACTGTACACCATAAAACCTATACTAGTTCACACCCCGTGGTCCCCACAGTACCTTAAGACTATTTTCTATCTGCGCCACAACCCTGAATTTCTAACTGCGTCAGAGGCTTTGAGGGCCCCACCAGGCCTCAATCTGAGGCCTAGCCTGGAGTAGCTCAACTTTCACAATTCATGCCCTCTTTCTCTCAAAAATGCTGTAACAGCACACCCTGTGTCCGTTTGTCTCACACCTGGACACCTGCTCCAGATGTATTCTGCGAGGGACAGGATCAAAACTGCACTTAAAATCCTGAAATAGAACCTGCATTGCCTTCCCATCATCCATGAGACGGGTGACCTTCTGTTAGGGAACCAGTGAGTGGGAGCCAGGGTGCGCTTGAGTTTCGGGAATGCCGCATCTCCTCGTCTCCTCATTTCCCAGGCAGACCCTGCCACGAGGGCGTGGCCGAAGCGGCCCGAGGATCCGGGCATTCTTAGGAGAATGGTGAGTAGCAGACTTGTGGGTTTGTGGCTGCTGTGCAGCTAAGATCATGCAGTGATGTTTGGTGTTCTTGATTGTAGCTGGGCAAGGGCCACAGGTCGGTGACTGCAGGAAATTGCCAGCAGGGGAGGCAGCCTTCCTTCGTACCTGATGTGGATTCCCTTCCCCGGACATCCTAGAGATTTTTTTAGGATTGGTGACTGATAAACACAATGTGTTTTGATGGATGGTTTTAGTTAGTGTTGCTTGTTTTGTTTTGGTTGTGGAACTATTTATCTTGGGTTTTTTTTGTGAGTATTTTAAATAAGGTTTGACACAGTGAGTAGGACTGTCATGTAGTTTATTTTTTGTGGAAACATAAGTATACCTTTAGGTTATGAAATTGACAGGACTACTTTATTGACTACTTACCAAGTCTTTTTGAGGTTTTTGTAAGTCTGATTTGAAATCAAAGAAGAAAAATAAGACGAAGGAGGTAGAGAAGTTATCTCCTTCTAGGGTAGAAAGGGTTTAACATAGAAACTGCTTTGTCTAATGTTGCGTGGGGCATTTCCGTGCGACAGCCGGGCCGCCCGCGGGGCTCGGCAGCAGGAGAGCCCCGAGCCGTGCGCGCTGAAGGTGAGGCGGCGCCGCCCGCGGGGAGCTGAGCCGAGCTGAGCCGAACGGAGCGAGCGGCTCCGAGTTCAGCCGAGCCGAGCTGAGCCGAGCGGAGCGAGCGGCTCCGAGTTCAGCCGAGCCGAGCTGAGCTGAGCCGAGCCTAACGGAGCGAGCGGCTCCGAGTTCAGCCGAGCCGAGCCGAGCTGAGCCGAGCGGAGGGAGCGGCTCCGAGTTCAGCCGAGCCGAGCTGAGCTGAGCGGAGCGAGCGGCTCCGAGTTCAGCCGAGCCGAGCTGAGCTGAACGCAGCGAGCGGCTCCGAGTTCAGCCAAGCCGAGCCGAGCCGAAGAGGCGAATCCAGCCGATAATAGTCGAGTTTAGTCGAGTGTAGCCGAGGAGCCGAGTCTAACCGAGCCGGGCCCTGCCGAGCGCAGCATCCCGGGCAGGGCGGGGCGCCGGGGCGGGCTCGGGGTGGAGCCGGGGCTCTGTGTGGCTCCCCCTCCTGTCCCTCTCTCTACCCCTCTTTCCTCCTCCCCGTATTCCTCTTCTTTCTCTCTTTCCCGCATTTCCCCCTCTCCCCAAAGCAGCTCCGTTCCCTCCCTTTCCCGCTACCCTTCCTTCCTCTTCCCCGTATTCCTGTTCTTTGACCCCCAGACCGTCCCCTCCTCTCCCTCCCAAACCCGACCTCCCACTGCCCTCACTCCGTCCTGTCCCTGCCCCGCTACTCCGTTCTGTCCCTGCCCCGCTACTCCGTTCTATTCCCCCTCTCTCCCTCCTCTGTCCACCGTCCCTCTTCCTTCCCTGCCGGCCTTTTCCTTCCCTTCCCGCTTTCCTCCACAGCCCGACCTCCCTCCCACCCTTCCGCATGCCCCGCTCTCCCTCCTCTCTTCCCGTCGCCCTTCGCTTCTTTCCCCCGCAGCCGCGGGGCTCGGGGCGCGGAGAATAAAGCCCCGAGGGCCGGAGCCCGGCGCCCCCCGGCCCTTGCGGGAGTCCCCGCACGGGGCCGGAGGCTCTCGGCGGATCCCCCCGCGCCGCTCGGACACCGCCCGGCGCTGCCGGACCTGCGGCTCCGCCACCATCGCGCTGAGAGCGGCCCCGCTCTGCGCCGTGCCGGCCGTGCCGCGTCCCCGCCGCCTCTGCCGCTCCCAATTTCTGCCCCTGGCCTGCGACAGCGAGGCGGGGCGGGGGCTTCAAGCCTTCTGGGGGCTGCCCCCCCTTTCCTTTTGCGGCAGAGTCCCTTTCGGGGGGGATGGAGGTGTGGAAAGGGCTGGAAGGGAGTGCTGGGCTGCTGTCCAGGGCAGTTGGACTCGTTCTGTGCCTTCTTTGGGGGTCAGGAAAAGGGGCTGAAGACTCGGGGCTCTGATGTCATTTGGGGCACCCCGAGGTCCCTAGGAGAGGGAGGCACACTGCGGTGGGGGAGTGGGTGGGGGGCGAATGAGGGGTGTGGGGTCACGCTGGGTGCCGTCCCGCAGAGGGACCTAAAGCTGCCCCAAAATTCCCAGGGAGGGGTGTGTGTAGAATACTAAAACCTGGCAAGTGTTTCGTTTTTATAGGTATTGGTAAAGAATAGGTATCTATGGCTAAATTCATTTGGAAAGAAGCCCTCTCTCTATCCACTCCTTTGTATCCAGGAATGTAGGAAACTCTGACTGGGGATGGGCAGTAGTTTTGAAAATCATGCCCTAAGGTTTTTATCTCGTGCTGAACCAAGCAAGTGCCCTGAAACCATCGGAGCAGCTGCAGGGGCTGAAGGGAACAGGAAGGGCTCTCCGGCACCTTTTGCCTCCGTTCTCTGCCATTCTCCGTCGCAGTCCCGGAAGAGGCATCTGTCATGCAGCCTGCCAAAATGAAGACCTGTAAAATCCGAGCTCTGCCTTTTGTTCAAGGTGTTTTTACTTCATATTTATGTCATCACAGAAAGCAAGGAAAGAAGAAATGTGACTGGTAACCACTATTGCTCTGTACAGGCACTTTTAAAGGCTGCTGTACTTATGTTCTCCTTTTCCACTCCAAGCTTGACTTTCCCTCTCATATTTCGAGGTCTGCCGCTTTGGGTGTCCCAAGGAGGGCAGGGTTCCTCAGCAGGGGTCTTAGGAGTTGGTGCTGATTCTGCTTTTTCCAAAGGTGTATCCAAGTGTGCTACCAAAACGACTATTTTCTCCACGGGAAAGCTTTCTCTCAATGACAATCAATGCATGTATGTGTTTTAACCGTGTAACCAGATGGATTAAGAAAAACCAACACCCGTAGTAGATTTCTGCTTGATCTGTGTCTGTAAGAAGTGGGCTGTGTGCTAGAGAGTGAGAGACGCTGTTGGAGAGTGGCAACAGCCCCAGGTGTGAGCTGTGAGGATGGGGAGGGCTCAGAGCAGCCCCAGGTGTGAGCTGTGAGGATGGGGAGGGCTCAGAGCAGCCCCAGGTGTGAGCTGTGAGGATGAGGAGGGCTCAGAGCAGCCCCAGGTGTGAGCTGTGAGGATGGGGAGGGCTCAGAGCAGCCCCAGGTGTGAGCTGTGAGGATGAGGAGGAGGGGGCGGCTCCTGCCGGGGGGAGGTTGTTTTAGGGAGAGGGTTTGCTTCAGCTGGCTTTTGTATGGTGCTGCTGCTGGAGAAGGGGAGTTTATGGGGAGCTCCCGGGCCTGTCTCATGGAAGGACGATGGGTGCTTGGGACAGGGTCTGGGGGATCACCTGGATATGCACTTGTGTACGTGGAGCCTTGCTCAAAGGAGGTGCCGAGGGACAAACTTTTGTGCCGAGAAACAGCAGCCAAACAGGTGAGCCGGTGTGCCTTTGTCGTGGGGACTTTTCTCCTTTCCCTTTTAAATTTCATCTTGCCAATCCCTCCCAGTTGCCCCCAGGAAAAAAAGAAAAAAAAAAAAAAGGATTTTGAGGACAAAAGAAATTCAAATTGAGGGTACCGGTGTCTGAACTAGTGGGGGATTCCCCTTCACTTGTGGTTTTGAGGGTAGTGATTGAAGGAAAACCTGCCTTTTCCAGGGTGTTAGGGATATCACAGGGGAGACAGAGAATCCCTGTGTTGCCTTTTAAATGGAAGGGGAAAAATATTGTTGTCGTATGATGGGTTTGACTTGAGGGTAGCTCCCCACCCTTTTCTTCATCCTGAGGTTGAAACGGAGGGGGCTGCCCTGTTGTCCTTCCTTTTAAAGGGTTTGAATTGAGGCAAAAATCCCCTTTTGCCATCATTTGAGGAAAGCTCCTTCTGCCCTTCTAGGGGATGAAATTGAAGGGAAGCCCACATTTCTTTGCCCTGGTTGAAGTGAGGTGAGCGACTGAGTGTGGTGTCACTTTTGGCGCTTCAAAGGAAGGGAGCTGCAGCTGTGGCAGCGCTGGAAGGGTGGAAACTGGGCTGTGCTGCTGCATTTGGGGGCACTTCTGCTGCCCCTGGTGCCGGGAGCACGGCTTCTCATTTTCCAGCGTTCCTTGCTGTGGGGCTTTTGAGGAATTTCTTGGATCATTTTCTTTTGTTCGTACTTGGTGTATGAGGAGGGCCATGGGGTACTTCTTGGTTGTTACAGTTCTTGCTCCAGGTGCTGATGACAAGGGTTTTTTTGGATTGAGCGTTGTTGTAGGATTTCTTTTTGATTGGTTCTTATGTTTTTAAAGGATGTGCTTTTAAAAGTTTACAGTGGTTTCTATGGGTTGTAGCATGAAGTAGAGGGTAGGTTTTTAATTTGGTTGTGGAGGCTTTTATTAGCGGGAGTATGTAGTGTCTGTTTAGGTTGGTTTGAAGTAGTCCTGTAATTAATTAGTGAGGTTTTTTAATATTGATAATTGCATTTTTGCTTATTATATTATAGGGGTTTGATTCATTTGCCTTATTTGGTTGCCATGTATGTTTTATTTTTGCAGAGAGTTTGGGAGATATTGTTTATGGTTACATTTATCTTTTGGCCACGTGTTTATTTCTAGGTGGTATTTGTGTTTTGGTGATTTGAGGCATTATGGGTTTCTTGAGTTAGGAATAATTATTTTGTTGTTGTTAGTATAAGCTTTTTGGTTGTTTTTTTTTTTTTTTCTAGTTTCATGTATTTGGTTGTCATTTTTTATTAATTTTATTTTTGGGAACATGGGTATTTCTCTGGTGGATTTTTTAAGGGACACATCCTTTGCCAATTGGATTTTTTGCAGGTGGCCGCCCCCTCAGGACCACAGGCCCCTGAGCACAAACACTGTCCCTTTTCCCTGGGAAAGAAAACTCGCCAGCCCAGGTCCCTGATGTCAGTTTGCAGGAGGTGTTTGGCATTGCCCCGGCAACCACAATTGTATTTTGCTGCAGCTTTGGTCGGGGAGATCTGGGGTGCCCCCTTCTTCTCTCACCTCCTCCCCTCAGCCCTGTTCTTCTCTGTCCCTGTCTCCGTCCCTCACCTGTATTTGTACGTCCAGCCCACCCTGCCCCACTCTCTCTCCACCCTTCCCCCTCCCCATCCTGCCCCATCCCTCACTCCCCTGTGGCTCCCTGCAGCACCACATGGGAGCCCGAACTCGTGGGGATAGTGCGGCCCTGGCAGCAGGACAGCACCGAAATGAAACGGGCCGGGACGACGTCTGTGGGCTGCACGGTGTCACCAAGGGACCTGGGGCTGAGGGGAGGGGGCTGGAGGGTGACACAGAGGTTGGGGGCTGCTGACAGGCAGAAGGGGTCTTTAGGAGTAAAAAGGGGGGCTCCATGGTGGCACAGAGATGCTGCAGTGGGGTACCTGAGGGTGACACAAGGAGGCTGAGAGGCAGGGGGTGCCTTGAGGGACAAAGTGGGGGGTGCCTGTGGGTGACAGGTGAACCTGCCCTCACACCACCCTTAACTGCACCCTAAATACCACCCCGGGTGCAGCGTGCACGG